CTATGACCCAGGATGTCTGATAGTCGGCCCCCTCTGGGGAAGAGCGGTGTACACTGCATCACACGGTGCCCGTCTATCCTCAGTACCCTCAAGAGATCAAACTGTCAACCCTGCCACCGATGGTGCTTCAGGGCACAGCAGTCTCCAGAGAGCGCTGCTCTCAGTCACCGCTCGGAAACGTAGCAGTAATAAGAGGCTCGCTGCCTCTACGGAGGTTTCTAGAGCAGCTAGTTCGGCCGTCCCATGCCAGTCTGCCACTTCAGGGCACCGAGCTAGCCACTCTGGTTACACCAAAGGTCAGTCTCGAGAGACTGATTCCCTTAGTAGACTATTTTGCAGCGTGGAAACTACTGCCAAATGTGTCTCAGTGGGTCCTGCACACTGTAGAGAGAGCCTTCAGAACCCAGTTTGGTTCTCCTCCGCCTCATTTCACGGGGTAATGGAACAAGAAGTAGACACTCTCTTGAGAAAGGAGGCCATCGAGGTGGTCCCTCCTCATGAAAGAGAGTCCGGGTTTTACACCTGGTACTTCATCGTTCCCAAGAAAGATGGAGGGCTGCCATCCTTCCCCATCACAGGAAGTTCCTGAGGTTTGCTTTGGGGGCAAAGCTTACCAGAACCGGTTTCTTACTTTTTGGCCTTGCACTCTCACCCCGCACTTTCACAAAGTGTGTGGATGATGCTCTGTCTCCTCTGTGACTCCAGGGCATCCTCATACTCAACCACATCGATGATTGGCTAATGCTAGCTCGATCAGAGCAGATGGCGGTTCGGCATCGAGACGACGTTCTCACTCAAAATGAAAGAGCTAGGGTTAAGACTTAACACCAATAAAAGTGTGCTTTCTCCAGTACAGAAAACCACTTATCTGGGCGTGGTGTGGTATTCGACCATGATGCAGGCACGTCTGTCTCCTGCTCGGATCGAGTCGATCCTCACTGCAGTCGCGAGAGTGAGAGAAGGCCGGTCACTCACTGTCAAGCAGTTCCAAACTGCTGGGCCTGATGGCAGCTGTGTCCAACGTGATATATTTTGGCCTGCTGTACATGAGACCCCTACAGTGGTGGCTCACGACAAAGGGGTTCTCCCCGAGGGGAAACCCACTTCGCCTGCGACAGTGCCTACGTGCCTTAGACATGTGGAGGAAACCTTGGTTCTTGTCTCAGGGCCCAGGTGTTGGGAGCTCCGTGTCGCCGCGTAGCAATAGCGAGTGGCCCCTCGGCCCACGGTCTGTGGAGTGGTCGCCATCTCACGTGGAACATCAACTGACTGGAGATGCTGGCCGTGTTTCTAGCATTGAACACTTTCTCCCGGACCTAAGAGATTGCCATGTGTGACAACACAGCGGTGGTCTCTTATATCAACCACCAAGGAGGTTTGCGTTCGCGGCCCTTGTAGAGGCTGGCGCACCAAACGAGTAGACCTAATAGAATGTACGAGTGTAGACGGAAAATAATTAAGAAACGATCTGATATAAACTAGGATAGTATTAATAATATAACGTAAATGTCTCGAATGAAGACGGCGGTTGAAAGCAATATTTTATTAAATCAAGCAAATTCACAGAAATATTGTGGTATATGAACAAAGAGCTCGTTAACATGACAGCAAAAAAACTAGGAAACAAAGCGTAAGACCTTACAATTACCATTAGATGGGAAACAAGTTCAAACAGAAAGAACGAGCTAAGTAATGGAAACATATAAAATCGTTCTTGTTTCAAAGTGTAACCCTATGAAAATCTTTGCGGTTTATATCCCACAACGGTGTGACGAGACCTAGCACAGTAGCGCCGTTAAACACGAGGATAAAGTCAAGATATCTAGCAATGTTAGGTATACTTACCAGGAATAAGCCTGATGTGTGAAAGACTTAGAACAAGCATTTGTGTTTGTGTTGTTAGGCTATATTGTTCTTATTGTCACTATAAAGATTTGTACGTTTACATACATATCAACATATTTATGAAACGCTGTTACAGAATTTGTCTTAGTGACATCCAATGGAATATTTATTAAAAGATAACACAGAGGACTGTTTGAGTAACACTCTGTCAAGTGTTCGCCCAACTACCGGAAACCTGTAACTTTATTATAATTAAAAAAAAAAAATACATATAAGCTTCATGCCTGACACTTTTGTAACTGACTAAAAACTAATATTTAAGTAAAAAATAAGAGAATTAAGAGATGTTAAAAAAAACTGCTGGCCACGTTTTCTTAAAGAAGAACTGCCAGACATGACAACGCGTGGTTACAGTTGTACCTGTTTCCTGGAACAAAACTAAAAGGCGGTCACCTAAAACACAAAGACTGAATAAAACGGACTGAATCATCGCTTTCGCTTAAAACAACTGTGATTTATTAAAGTCATGTTTAGAGACACGTACAAAGAAAACAGAGTTTCCACACCATCTTCAACTTGTAATGTGTAACTTTATGTGCTCTATAAGAAATAGATGTACATGTAACAGAGACATAGTAAGATTGAGGCCTTGTGTCACGTGGCCGCTTTGTAGACATCACAATCTCAGTTTAAACACTCTCTTGACTTTCATTTGATTATCTTATACTGTATTTGTTCATGTTTTCCTGCAAGCACTCGCCGCATGTTTGACCAAACTCTGAGAATAGTCTTCAACTAAAACTGTACAACAACAATGAAAAAGGTATACAGCGCCGTCAGCTAGTGAGGGGGTCGCCATCAAAATCAACATTACAACTTTAACAATAGTTTAGAAGAGAGGAATTCAGTATTAGGTACTTGATATACTGATATAAATTTCTGTTGTGCTAACACATTTCCTGTATAAAAGACTATGTCTATAACCTTTTTAAAGGGGGATGTGATATAATGTTATGGTACTTAATTGAGATCACATTACAACAAGGTGTGCCATAGTCCCTCTAGCAAATCTGCCAAAAGTGGACAAAACAGAAAAAAATTAGCATGCGGTAGATGCTTATGCTTATGACCGATGGGAAGTACACGCAGTCCTATGCTTTAATGTCAAGCGGAAATGTTGAAAGGAACAAGTACGACAAATAAATACATTTGAATATCATCATCAGCTATCTGAACAAGAGGTCTAGATCTAGTTATGAAAGAAAAAAAGTCATTTAAAACAACGTTTACAAAAAATATACCCAAATGATCACGAGTGGGTTTTCTGTAATCATATGATAATTTTCTTAGTGGTTTGGTCTCTTGAGTTACATAGGGGTTTTGCTCTCACAAAATTCCTTTATATTTTGTGTCTGTAGCCTTTTCAAGAGCATGGCACTTTTAACACCCTCAAACTTTACTGAATGTGTAGCTTTGAGCTCAATGGTGAGACATGTTCCAGTTGTAATAGTTGTATGTGTAAATCAGCAAGCCTTACTTTTCGTGTTGACAGTTCATTGTATTTATATGGAGATGGATAATTGACAGGAGACTTGTTACTTTTTTGAAAAAGTGCATTACTTTACTAGTTACTTGAAAAAAGTAATCTGATTATGTAACTCACGTTACACTGGTCATAAATGCACTCTTCGAAAGACCAATTGTCACCTAATACTATTGTAAATGTTTATTTTTATACAGTATGTTACATATTATTACATTTTATTAATTAACATCTTTAAAATAAGAGATTGATGTGTTTTATAAGTTCAATAAACTTAAACAAATGTTGAAAATGTGTTTAAAACGTATGATAAATGATTTGCTTTAGTAACATGATTTATAACGTCAATAAACTTAATAAATACATAAAATAAATGCTGAATACATGTTTAAAGTGTATGATGAAAGATTTGATTTAGTAACATGCTGTCATATATAAATATATATTTATTACTATCTTCTTTAAAAGACGAGACTGGTGTGTTTTATAAGTCCCTCTGGGGTCTAAGGGGTATTTGGGAACACTGGAGAAGTTCTGACATGCTCTGACATTAGTATTTTTTCAGTATCTTAAAAATATATTAATGGCTAAAGTCTGATTGTAATGTATTCAGCACAAACTGGGCTACAAAGATATGTGAGCAGCATGAATTTACATGTTTGTATTTTTGAGAAAGCAACGTTTATGCGTGGTTAGTGAAAAAATAAATAATAGTAATAACAATAATAAAATAAAAAATTCTGTTTAAAATACTTGTTTAAAATGTGTTACGACACACACACTGGGAGCACAGGAACGGACGCGGAGACGAGGAACAAAGTACATTTCAAAGATTTAATAAACAAAAGCTGGGAATACAGAGACACGGGATACACTGAGGACATGAAATGACATTCGACAGCGGACAGAAAACAAGGGGCAAAACACACCTTATATAAACAGAAACTAATGGGACACACCTGGGATCAATAGAACTAAATGGGATTAGGAACCATGAAAAACAAATATGGGCATAAACATTAACCTGGAGCACATGGGGGAGGAAAACACAACATGAGACATGGAACAAAGTCTGACACGGGGGGGTGGGTGCTCTGGAGGTCCCTCAGGACAGACACG